GAAATATCTGCATATGACAGACCAAGCTGGGCTTTTTTGGATCACTCCTTCTGCCAAGCAATACCCATAAATTTAATTTCCAATCTGCTCTCCTTTTATTAGTTTGGGTGTTATTAAATGAGATTGCTTCATCTTAATATAATATATTTCCGGGGCCTGCGAATGTGGCTTGGAGCTGATATTCAAATTCAATAACATGGCCTGTACTTAGTGCATGGCTCTAATAAATGCCAATGTATGATGCATATGAAGACGGGGCTCAGCGTGGAAGTGGTGGAGGGTAATAATAAGGCTGCGAGTGTCCTTCAGAGGTGAGACATGCCGCTCTGCGTGCCTGTGTTCCACAACTCATATACCTGGAGAAGGCAGGTGACCTACATACAGCTGAAGAGAGAAGAGATGGATGTTCATATTTCCTGGTATTTTATTAACTAGACAAGACAAATCCCTGGCAACTGTATACACTAGCTGTGGTATAACACGCAGGAGAGAACTGTGTAAGTCACAATTGTGCTGCTAACCTTTGACCTTAGCTCAACGGACACAGAGCAGACTGTTTGAAGAATCATCCCCACCATTTGGTGCTGTGAAGAGAATAATACATAGACAGGTAAAGTACAATAGCTTGGTTGCAATGTGTGACCTCTTGACCTCTGTGGGGTTAGAACTTCCCATCTTCCTTTGTCTCCCCCCCCCCCTATTTTATCGCTGGAACCCAAGAACTACTCTCGCAAAGGTTGCAGCTTAGAAAGCTTAGCAGCACCAGCGAGTGACCTTTTCTTTTATTGCGAATCTTTCAGTTTCATCATTATTATAAAGTGAGATCTATGCATATGATCAGTACAATGGATTTCTTTTTCATTAGTTGTGTAAAATCCCAGTCAGTGAATGGTGGGGTAGTCGTCACCGCCAGCCAGTCTTGGTCTCCCCCCGCCGCTCCCTCTCCTCCCACTTTCTGCTCCTCCTCCACCTCCTTCTCTTCCTCCACTGGTGGGATCTGACAGTTGGAATTAATATGCGAAGAGCTTTCCTTCTCCGTATGTTGGCTGAGGCTTTCCAGGTAACTTTATCAGGGGTAACATTATCGAGAGCTTTGCCGAGAGCTTCTTCATCATGCTCATATCCGAGCCTGCCCAACACTTGTCACTGTCAATCACAAGGTGATAATACATCAGCAACTCTCTCATTTGGTTTAATAAAATCTCCAGGCTTATTTGAACTGCAGTCATTACAGCAAATAATTGCCTCACATTAGTTTCTAGCCAGGTCTTAGCCTCAGGGATAAAAAAGGCTATTGCTATATAAAGGCTTCACTTGATGTTTTTTTTTTTTTTTTAACCTTTACTCCCCAGTCGTTCATATTTCTAAAATGAAAATTACATTTGAATCTAGATTTTGCTTCCTTTATCCAAACTAATGTTGTTATTACATATTATTTGGAAGTGGAGTCATCTGTTTTCACTTATTTTTATCTATGTGCTGTCAAGATAGATTTCAGCAAGGATTGCCAATTGTAATATTTAACTGTCATTTAAACCAAATTGTAAATCTGAATCAGCAGGCTGAAAATTCTCTGAAGAAATGGCCTGACAGAAGGGAACATATTTCATCTTAAATTTGAATTCTGGCACCAGCTGCAGGTGAAGCAGCTGGAAATTTGTGCTGAACCCAGAGTCTATAAATCTCTCATAAAGGACCAATCAAATCATAAATGTACCATTACATTTCAGCAAATATACAATTTAAAAAAAGACTCAATGACAATGCCTACTTTTAAATTAATGTTTTATATTACCAGTTTCCTGAAATATGCCTTATCAGCCATAAATAAGGAGATGTTATTAAATGTTTTAGTTTAATAAAAAAAAAACAGGGGCTATGTCTGTTTTGGCAGAATTGACTCTATGTAAATTCATAAACTATTAGATTGTTAATTATATGTTTTGTCCAAACATCTTAGTTGTATTTTAGAGGCATTATTTCACTTTATTGGATGTACATTCCTACCATCTTTCTCCAAAGATAAGCTATGTCTCTCTTGCCAAAGAGCTGCAAGCTATTTATCCATCTGTCTGTCTGTCTGTCACAAACTTTTGTCCAGTTTTAAAGTATCTCTTACCGTGAAGTGAATTTTTCTTGGTCTGAAATCTCAGTCTACCAGTGTGCGGAGCTCCATTAAGGGTCATTTTTTTAGGCTAATTTCTGCGTTGGCTAAGTTGTTCACTAGTGTCTCGGCTCTTTAAAAAAAAAATCTCCACGTTTTCTTTCCAGGCGCCATGAAATTCTTTACTTCTCACTTGAAAATCCGTATGTTACAGTATCACCTTATGCCTCAGAAATTATTTTTCTCAAGCAAAAACTGACTTACTTTTGTTTTTGGCGTGATGCTTTCTCAAGTAACAACTAAAACTCTCAGTGTTTTATACTGCCCAGAAATTCATCCATCCATCCATTTTCTTTACACCCTTGTCCCTTAGTGGGGTCGGGAGGGTTCTGCCCAGAAATTGAGAGGAAACTGATTTTAACAGCTTTAAACATTATATTGAACAACAGTATTTTGTCTTATGACTCAGTAAAAAGGTTTATTAATAATAGCCTTGGTGATTTTTTATCCTAAAAAGCCCTGTTAGTGTGAGTAAATATAATAATTTATGCTTTCTAATAAAACTAGTATGTTTACAAATGTTGTTTTTTATTTAGCATCAAATAAAGGATTGCGGAGCTAAACATGTCTATTAATATTTGAAAGTATCAACAATGTAATAAATAAATAATAAAATATATATAAAAAAAACTTTAAGTAATATGTACTATAATGAAATATTCATTGGAGTATTTGTTAAATTATTTAATGGTTTATGTGTTGCATTGCACTATAAAATTATTTAAGCCGTCACTGTGGCTGGTTAAATAGATCCTAACATCTGATTGGTTGACCAACTGTATCTGATTAGAGAGCTGTTAGTCCTGCCCACTAACTGTAATGGTTAGTGTGGTCAGATAAAATTACACAACTTACGAATTGCTTCAGCACACAATCATAAAATAACTTTGAAAAATTTTGCTACATAATCTAAGATGTTACTTGAAAAAAATATATACTACTTATTTAAGCAATTATGTATTTTTATTTTATTTTGAATAATAACTAAAATTATTTTTAAACAATTCAGTAATTATTTATTTATTTATTGTATTGCAGCACTCCTGAACTTCCAAAAGATCAAGGGGGCATTTGATTTTCTTAAAGAAAAAAAAAAACCCTGAGTATTGAAAGTAAAAGCTAAATCTACATTTTCTAGTACAAAGAGGTCACATATTCAATAAGAAAATCTAATCTTCACACTTTAATTACAGTCATTACTGTATTTGTTTAACCAAACAAGGTCGCAATAATTGATTAGATAAAGAATCAATGGCAAAAACAAAAATCTCATTACAGAAGCCGTGTTGTGGACACTTGCACTCTTGTTTAGGTCAGATAGTTCATCCCAATGTCACTGAAGGCAAAGCAGGCAGGAACTCATTTGTTCTGAGGTGATTTTTGATTTGTGCATGTCAAAAACGTGATGGTGACCTTGCACTGCCAATAAAGGAGCCAGATACTAATTACCTTTGTCAGTGAAGTGCACTTGGGACAATACTCAATCAGATAACAATAATCGAGTCAATAATTTGTATTTACTCTGAAACTTGGACAATGTCATTTCTCCCAATTAGTGCAATCATCCATGCATTAAATTAGTTTTTTTCTTGCTCACCAGAAAACTAATTAGGGGTAATTGTTAGGAAATCAATCAATCAACAGAATGAACTTCCAATGAAGCGTGGTCAAAACTAAAGAAATGTGTGACACATATGGTTTGGATGCACCCTGACCTCTGGGGACTTAGCTTGGTACACCGAAACAACAGAGAAGTGTGTAACTAAAGTGGTTTAGGGTACAAATTAATATGGATTCAGGGATTTATTCAAATAATTGGATGCTTTTGATTGCATTCTGTTTATTTATCAGCATATTATTATTATTATTATTATTATTATCTAACAGGTATATTTCATTGAGAATAAGAATCTCTTTTTCAAGAGTGGTAGCAGCACACCAACAATTACAAACCAATAATTCAAATAATTGCCTTTGCAAAAGTATTTTGAACTTGTACATTTTGTTAGGTTACAAATATAAACTCCTTTGAATTTTTACTAAGATCACTTATGATAAACTAACATATAATAGTCAATAATTGAGAAGTGAAAGGAAGATAATAAATGATTTTCCAATCTAAAAACTATGGAATGGATTTGTATTCTATCTGTTTTCGGTAACAATGAGGAATCACTAATCAAGGCAAACAAGATTTTCTGTACTACCCAACATAGATGATGTAGAAATAATAAAAAATTAACATTTATTTAAAAAATTCCCCATCATCTTTTCATCGGCTCTGACCAATTTCCCTTCCTTGAAAAAAAGCCCATGACATAATGTGTCACCACACTGTATGGCTGTGTGTATTTAGGAAGATATGCTGATTCTCTTATAAACGCCAGTCTTTGGATGTCAGCTTACATTGACATGCTTATCTTAGGAAATTTTAAGTTGTGCAATATTCTTTCCATTCTTTGACAATGGACCAAAGAGCAAAATGTTTAAAGTTTGGGATTTGCCATATAACTTACTCCTACTTTAAACGTCTCCACAACTTTATTGTTGACTCACATGATGTGTCCCCTGTTTCTAATCATGATTGTTTTCTAATGTTCTCCACCAACCCTCTGGGATCCTCATAGAAAAAATTATCTAGAAATTTGTACGATTTCTTCCATTTGATTGCTTATTAGACGTCTCTACACCTACAGAATGAAAATAGGTTCTTTCCCTTTAAAGCTAAAAATTGTCTCGTTTTGTGACAAAAGCTTCAGCAAATCAGCTGCTAAACGTTATTCTCCTCGACCAATGAGAATTCAATTCACACAAGAACCGCCCCTCGTTAAGTTAGATTGAACTCCGGTGTATCCCAGTATCTCCAAGTTATCAACATTGATCAGCCAGACGGTATGACATCTAAAGGAGTGGCAAGACTCAGCAGATTTTAAAGTGGGGAAACAGCTTTTTAGAAAATCGGTTTTAAACGGATTTCTACACGTTTGAAGTTTACACGGTAAGCCACATCTCTACGCTGTTTACGTACGGCAGCTGACATTTAAGAACCAGTCGAGTTAGCAACGTCAAAACAAGCTCGTAAGCTAATGCTACAGATGGGGCTTAAGTCGACGAAAACAAACAATTGACAGCAGGCAACGCATGTGTATGAACTTTATCTACTGTACCATTACATCAGGTGATTTTATAAATCTTTATATTCGGGTGTCAGCTAAAATTAAACTCGTTCTTGTTACCAATTGCAGGTCTATATCGGTCGCTAATGAAGCGCTGCATCTCTGATCTAAATTACTCCAGAACTCGCTGTTCTTTTAAAAGTATGTTTACAGTGCATTGTATATTGTTTTCATCGCTTGCCGCCGGATGGATCGTAATACCATGTTTTCTGAACCCACACATTAATTCAGCAAGTTAAACACACAAGTAAACTCCTACGTTAGCTAAAGCTAAGCTAGCCCAAACAAGTCGTTCTTTTAGATCATTCTCCAATTCATTTTCTTATTTATGCCTTGTTCACCATGTTTATAAATGTATTTCAGTTTTCGCTAGAAAGTGGGCTTGCTATATCGTAAGAGTCTGTCCAAATGTAATCAGGTTAGCTGTTTTTGTGACCTCGGCTGCAGTAGCAATCCTCTAATGTGCCATGTTTCCACAACAGCAGCGGCGGATGGCCATCTCTGTGGTTAATATTGGACCAGCTAATGCGAGAACAACACCAATCTGAACCTATGACTGAGTAATGAACCTAAACCCCTTCTGGAGCATGTCTGCCAACACAAGTCGCAAGGTAAATTGTTGACCCGCCCCCTGCAAGTATTTATATCACTTTACATTGTTAAGTTCTGGGGGCAAAACAGAACAGCAGTGTGTATCAAGTGGTGGAAGGGCAGCGGCCTATTGATATTCTGTTTCAAATAGACTGAAAAAAATTGACTCTTGATTAAGACTTCAAACCAAAGTAGTGATATAATTAAATGTTTTGTTGTTTTTAAGTTGTAGCTGCTTAAAATCTTAGTACACTGAAAACTGGCCCAAACATAGTAACATAAACCCACTCTTTTAAAAGAGTCCTTTGTTTAATTCAGTTCTGCAGATTTAATAGACAGACATTGCCATAGGAAAATGTTTGGCCACTATTTTCAGAATGGGTGTGTCTTCATTTTTTGGTTAGTCATGCAAACGTTTCTTTATTCTGATGTAATGGATGAAACTTGTAGTAATTTCTTTGGTATGTTTGTTGTTTGCAGCACTCTCAGTGTATGCCAACAGTGTTTTTAGTATTTTTAAAGACTCATTACTACACTGCTCCTCTGATCTGCTTTGTGCTCCTTGTGTACACTGATGTAGTGTAACATCTCCGTAACAATTTCATAAAGATACTGTAATATGCTGTATCTGTATCCAATTATCTGATGAATATTAAGCCAAACAACTGCCTCAAGTAAATGTGCATACAAACCATTTTCCTTCTTCCCCCTCCCTCCCTCCTCTGTAATTGACGACAAATTTTCACCTGTTGCTGTGATCCTCTTTGTCCCCAAAACAAACCAGCAGAGAGCTGAAGAGGAGCAAAGTGGGCACACAGACCAGAGAGCCAGCCCAGCCAGGACTCACTTTGGCAAAAAGGTCCTTCCGCCCATTCCTAAGAATGCAACCCCCATTACCAAACCTCCATCAATGGGCACTGCAGCCCACTCGGCCAATGGCACACATGCCTCCTATGGCCCTTTTTACCTGGAGTACTCTCTACTTGCAGAGTTGTGAGTATTTTTTTTTTTTTCCCCATCCTAATAGAAAATCTAAGTTTATATTTACTGATTAGACCTGTTGCAATGTGACCTGCAGTACACTCGTGATTAAGCAGAAACTCCCTGGAATTTATGTCCAGCCATCCTACAAGTCGGCACTAAGTAAGAATCAATGCGCCGCTAAATTTTAATAACCTGAATGTTGATCTTATGCTTTATGTGAAATATTTTCTATTTCATTTTCCCTGCATTGATACTTTTTGTGTTCCTAGTTGTAGTGTAACATTTCTTAAAGGCAGTTTTCCTCTCTCCTGTTGTTTAGTGTGGTTTGGGGTCATTTTCATCAGGCATGGTTTGTATCAAGATGGTGTCTTCAAATTCACTGTGTATATTCCAGACAACTATCCAGACGGGGAGTGTCCTGTAAGTGTTTTTTTCTTCTTTTTTTTACTTAAAACTGATTATAATTAAAGAGCCTTTTAGATGTACTTGGCTTGAGAAATGCGTGTTCCCTTAAACCTGTAATCTTCGGGACAAATTTTAAAGTCTCTTATTTTTAATTTCAGAAATTGGTATTCGACATCCCAGTCTTCCACCCTCTTGTCGACCCAGTATCTGGAGAGCTGGATGTCAGAAGAGCTTTCACCAAATGGAGGTATGTTGTTTTCCCCTCTGGAATGCAAACAATTTTACATTCTCATTATCATCAGATTGTTTATGTGGAATAGACTCCCTCTCAGAGCGGTTTGTTTTAAACTTGTAAATTGCCGTCAACTTGTGGTTTTACAGTCAACACTTTGCAAACGTAAATCTAATCTTTCTTTAGACGGAATCACAACCACATCTGGCAAGTCTTGATGTATGCACGTACAGTTTTTTACAAGATCAACACAACGGAGCCACTAAACCCAGAAGCAGCAGTGCTGTGAGTTTCTGAGGCTTTTCTTCCCTTTAATGTTTGTGACTTTTTATTTAAAAAATCTTTTAAGATTCATTTTTATGGATTCCTTTAGATAACTGATGTAATTACTGATTTGAAAATAAAAAAATAAGCTGGTGTTTTTTTTTGCAGTAGTGATTACTAAGGCTTTAAGATCCCTGGAAAAGTGTTTTTTTTTTTGTTTTTTTTTGTTTGCTTGTTTTTTTTGTTCATTGCTTACAAATGGAAACCCACATTTTTCCTCTTTGTCCTCTCCAGGTATGAAAAAGATATACAGCTGTTCAAAAGCAAAGTGGTGGACAGTGTCAAACTATGCAACAGTCATCTTTTTGACCAGCCTAAGATAGATGATCCTTACGCAATAAGGTTTGTCCCCATTATTGACGTCCCTTTGCTGACCACAGGAAATCATAACCTGCATACCTGTTAGTTTGGAAGAATCGTTGACGGCGAATAGAGTTGCACTCTGAAATCATGTCCTTCTCCATTGGATTTAGTTTCTCTCCATGGAACCCAGCAATGCATGAAGAGGCAAAGGAGAGGATGTTCGCATACAAGGTAAGTTGCATGAATATCTTGAAATCTGCTGAACTTTACTCATTTAAAGTTTAGATAAGATATTTGCATGTAATTTGTTCAGCTGCTGTGTAACCGCAATATCTTTTTTTTTTTTTTTTTTTTTTTTTTTTTTTTTTTTTTGCCCTGCTGTTTTGCCTTTTAGAAACGACCTGAGGAATATCACAGAGGAACACAGGTGTCGGGGTTATCTTGGGTAAAGCCTGGTTCAACCCAACCTTTCAGCAAAGAAGATGGTCCTCCTCAGAGCTGAAACTGCACTGCGTGCCCTGGCCACTAGATGGAGACAAACGTCAACTGCTACACCGTTGGCTTTCCTCAGCTGCTTGTGTAGTGGACTCTTGAAATGGTTGGGAGAAATTAATTTTTATCTCCACTTTACTGCTCAGCTTTAAAAGCTCTTTAGGCTGCTCTTGACACAGCTGTAGAACAAGGAAGAATAGTTTTGTATCACGTGTAAATTGCAAATGACAAATGGATGTCCAAACTACGTCATTCAGGCTGTGATGCAATCAAAGTGCATTGTCTGTCATTCATTTTCTGCTCCATGCACATGTAGTCAGACAGGGAGATAAAGTCCCAAACGGGGGTCAGATGTATGAACAAAGCACTTTGTATACATATGGTAAGTATAGTAGATGGCTTAATTAAAAACCACTTATAAAATTGGCTTAGGACTGTATTTGTTAGGCTTTTTTTTATTTTCAATACAGCAGAGTGACTGAAATTAATTCAGACTCCCCCCCCCCCAATATCCACTAAAGTAGTGTTCTTGATTTGTCTTCAGGTCGCATTGTCCTGCATGTATTAGAAGCATCCCTGCTCTAACACACCTGATTCTAAGGGCTTAATTCTGCAGAACTCTGCTGTGTTACTGTAACTTTACATCATGTGTGGTGAAGTTTAATACATGTAGAACATTATGAGCTGAAGACTTGAGATTTGGAATGCTGCTCCACAGCTTGACATGATTTGTGTGGGTTTTTTTGTTTTGGACAACAGTTTTTAGTTTGGTTGTTTTATGTAACTTCTATTATGTGTAAAGCAGAGCAGCCAAGTATAATTTTAAATGAGATGCTACATAACTAAGCTTGTTTTACTTTAATGATTTTTGAATGCTTTACGTACCTTTTGGCTATTGGTTACTAATGGTCTATGTAGATAAGTTTCCATTCTGAAGTTCTGTGTCTGGTTTCCTTAAATGTTTGAGATCCCATAAACTCCTGTCTGCAAGATTTTGTCACAAAATTTGAGGGAAACTATTTTTATAAGGTTCATTTGCTTCCATCTGGGCAGCACAGAGTTTATTTAAAGCATATGTTGATACTAATTTACCAAGACGTTGATGCAAATCTGGCGTTTTCTTTATTACGGTTTATGTTCTTAAGACTGGTGTGGATTGATGCTGAAGTTCTTTCCAAATATAACTCTTGACTGGTTTGCTTGAAGTTGTCTCCAAGGATTTACATTAGAACAGCTTAAATGGTGGTCAAACCTGTATGATTAGTAATTGCTTGTTACTGTATAAAATTCAGAGAAAAGTCTCTGTGCAATCTGGACTTTAAATTTATTTGCATTGCTGTGGTTTGAATGGTTCCCTTACCACAACATAAATGGTGTAAATTTTTTATTCTGAAACCAATAAAATGATTTTTAAAGCAATTCTGTGTTCGGTTATTGATTAAATTGGGAAAATAACCAGAAACTTTCATGAAAAATTGTAAATCTTCACTTTTTTTTTTTTTTTTTTTTGCAATAAAATGAGGCAGCCATTTGTTTCTATTTTAGTCACTAAATCAAAGGTTACATCAGCAATTTACCTTGAAGAATAATTTAACCTGTGTTTACTAATGCCAGAAAACACAGAATAACTTCTCTGTGGCACTGTACTTGGTGGTGCCTTGCAAAAGTATTAATACACCCCGAACTTTTTTACATTTTGTCAGATAAACCACAAATATCTAGATATTTATAATCCACAACTCAGGTGGGAGAATCTGTTAGCAAGGCACTCAACAAATCTGGCCTCTATGGAAGACTGGTAAAAGAAAGCCATATGAAGTGGTCTATAAACAATGACATGAAAGAAGCAAACACGTGAAAGAAGGTGCTCAGATTAGATGAGTCTAACATGGAATTTGTGGAGGAAAGCCAACACTGGACAAAACCCTGGAGACATCATCTCAACATGATAGCATAATTATACATAGGCTTTTCTTTTATCATTTCATGTAACCCTATTGAGGAAGGTCAGAAGACTTTTTGGATTTTTATAGTGTGATTTTGCTCCCATTTCAAAAATTAATATAACTGATCAAAAATCACAAAAAATCCAGCTGAAATGTGAAAAACGTTCAGTGTCCTTTTTAAAACGCTGCATTTTTTATATTTATATGTATATCAGTGATTCTTGAGGATAGGGACAAAATGGGTTTTAATTTTCCCATATTTTTTATTATTTCTCAGCCTTATGTATGCAAATATGACAAATAATGTTTTGGAAATGTAAAGATGCTAAGGTGCAGGTTCCCAGTTGCAACATTTTTTTTTAAATTAAATTTTTAATCGACCTGACCCAGAACTTTGTCATCAACATCTGATAAAAATAAATATAAAATGATTTTTAAAATACCCTATTAGTGATATTTTTACTAATTTTACAGACAAATGCTTCTCAAGAAACAAAAAAATATTATTTAAAACAAAAAACAACAAAAAGTCCATCTGATGGAGTTGACAGTGCATGACAGAGTTGACACAGAACTGAAGGTGGTGACAAACTAGTGAGTAAAATAAAATACTTGATACATGTGAAGTAATGCAATTTATGTAAAATACATTAATTAGAATGAATTAATTGCACATTTAAGTGAGATTTGACAACAATTTCACTGAAAGAGTCAGAAAAACTCTGATGGAGTTGACAAAAAGCCAAACTACCTCAATTTATATGATGTTATTCTGAAGGAGGCCATATTGTAGCTCATTAGGTCCATTAAATCTTTACAGTTTACTAAAATTAAGCTTTTATTTCACAAAATTTCATCAAAGTTTGGTAAATTGTCAGTAATGGTGTTGACACATCATGGTTGTGACAAGCAACTTAGGAATAAACCAGGAGAAAAAACTAAAGAACAACATAAGCTAACCAGAGCTAACTAGCCCTCCTAGCAAAGGAAGAGAAAAGACAACGTCATGGGGTCCTCAGAAGTTCTGGTGCCCCCCAATAATGCCTGATTTTTTTTACATTCTTTTCATGTCTGACGGTGTTGACAAAAACTAGGGACAAATTTCAATGGAGTTGGAAAATATATAAAAAAAATTTTTAGTTCAATTTATTGATACTTTTATAATTATTTATATGACTACTTATACTTAATTGTTATAATATATAATTTTAGTATTGCTTTAATTGTTTTAAACTATTAAAATGTATTGAGTTCTGCTCCGGGACAAGATATTTTACAGGCATCATCCACCGACTACAATGTTTAAAATAAAAAAAATATTCAGAAAACACCAGGAAAATATACATTGTTGTGCTCACATGACTCAGGTTAGTTTTGTCAGATATTTGAGAAAATTATATTTTGTGTACATTTTATTCAAATTTTGTGCTTTATCCATAAGACCCGTTTTGTCCCTATTCTCAAGAATCACTGTTAAACACAGCCGTGTGTTTATTGTCAACATTCACCACTAGAGGTCAGCATGTGCCCACAGTGAGGCTCGTTGGGTTTCACTTCTGTCACGTTCGCATTTAGAAGACACTCCGGTCCATGTGCGAAAGTAAAACCTCTCCGGATTGGCTGTGGCATAGACGCGGCCATCTTATGCACTCTGTCAACACAGTGACTATCCAGCTGATAACATGATTTAATCAGCCGATCTCAGAGGGACAGCCGAGGGCGCTCAGTCCGCCCAGGTACACATACACAGGAAATCGGAGCTATATTTTACTTTAATCTGGGTTACTTTAGCAGATTGCAGTCTGTCCAATCACAGAGAGAGTCACTAATATGCAAATGCGCTGTTATCGCCGTCACGTCAGCAGCACCAGAGCCGCTGCGCCGTGGTCGCCAGCAGGAGTACAACTAACAACACAGCTCCAACTTCGCCCGACAACACTCTGCCAACACTGACGCCTGGAGTTGCGCTTTAGGGGTTACTTCCAGGTAAGAAATAACACCCGTTTTTCATTCTTGTGGCAGGCTGAATTTGGACTCGAACGGTTCTGTTTCATTCAGACTCGGAGCTGTCAAATATCGGACAGTCAGTTGGTGAGGGTCGGCTCAGCTGTCTGATGACACACCGCCTATCTGAGCATGTATCCTCCTGCCCGACACGACACCGTCGAGCAGCCGAAACTTAAAAGTTTCCCCTCAGACTAACTCGAATAAACAAGCCTCACTTAAAGAGTTTGTCTGGAAACCAAAAAGAAGCCTTTAAAGTAGTTCTTCTGTCTTGGTGGTTCTGGTGGTGGTCCTGAACTGACAGCGACCAACCGGGTTGAGTCAGAATGTGAACGTTATGTAAATGCAAGCAGGATTAAAACGTCGATAGTTTCTTAACAATTCAATGAAAACGAAAGTCGAACTAGTTATTATCTCGGGCACCATCACGGACGACCTCTCCATCCATCTTCGGCCTCCACCAGCACCTCCTCCCCCCTCCTCCACCATGTCCTCCGTGGAAAAACGTCACGACACCTTTTGAATCCAAAGTGAAGGTTTGACCACGTGCGACGCCCCCCTTCGGACAGCTCGAGGCTGAGAGTTTACTTTGTTTAAAGCCAATATCCCACGTGCATCGCGTGTCGTTTTTGCTCGGTTGTGCTTCAAAAGTAGCGCAACACATTGCCGCTTCATTGGCTCATCAAACAGCGAGCTCACGGGGGTTGAAGCCATTTCTGCAGGAAGATCAAATGGATGCCGCTCACCACAGAGTCCAGGTCTGGTTTGTTTCGGTGTAGCTGAAAATAAATAATTTAAAAGGGGTTACCAAATGTGACTTGTTGCTACTTTTACATAGGGGTACATAAGTTTCTAAATTAAACCTTGCATTCTGGAGCAGCAGTTCTTCTGCTTACTTTTTTATTTATTTTTTTTTTATTTTAAATGGCCAGCTCTGCACACGTTAATCCCAGGATTATATTCCCAAAGTCGCAGTTTAAACGGATTGACTTGCGCAGAAGTTGCCATTGTAGTCCTTAGTAGGTTTATTTGCCGTTTCGGGTACCAGTTTTTAAGGGGTCAAATTTCTGTTGATGTGCTACACGTGCGTGGACGTCATGATTATGAAGGAAACAGCTGGAAACCCACGAAGGAGGAACAGAGTCTGTGTCTGACGCCAGCTGGGAGGCGTTTAATTCAGTAATGAGTGGGCATATTAGTTTTAGTCTGAGCGCATGGGCAATATGACTGTGTGTTATATTGTTATTCTAGAGATTTACTTTTATTCGTTTGGCTGGGTTTAATGAAAACATTAACACTTTTAGGTACAGTTTGGTGACATGCCATGACAGTTTGTCCTATTCATTTTGCTGTTTTGTTCGTAATCATTAATTAAGAAAATACACTCCCAGAATCTTCCTGGAGCAAAGGCAACTGATCAGAGTTACCATACCATGCAGAAGTTGCCATTTGAAGGTTCCCCCTTTTTTGTCAGACTAGAACCACACACCACTTCTTTGTAGGACTAATTTTAACTACTGCTGGTCTTTTGAGGTCTGTCTCCTGGCTTTGAACATCTAAAAATAGTTGGGGTTTTTTGCCCATTATCATCTCTCAAAGTGGCTCAAACTCAGTTAAAATAAATAGACACAATTTGAATCTTGCCCCAGTGTCTGACTGAGCCTTACCACATAAATATGGTTTGATTCGAACTAGGGCACAATCATACTCATGGCATATGCGATAATATTGGTGAATGTTGCAATAACTAAAGTTTCTTTCCGATTTGGTTTCATAGCGAATGCCGAACTCCAGATAATCAGATTTTCCAGCTCTGGTAAAAAAAAAAAAAACATATAATGCAACTTATAACTGCCATCTCAACAACAAGGTTTTACTGAAAAGTTGATTCTGGTTGAAATCTGCCGTTTTGACATTGAAACAATCTACTTGTACTTTAATGACTTTATAACTTTACCACCACTTTACCTTTTAAAACTTATGCTACTTTAAACAACAAGTGTCACCTTATACATCAGCAATAAGAGCTTGAATGCATTCTCTTTAAATATTTAGCTAACATTCATTGCAGAGCTGGCAGTCCTTATGTAAATGTACTGTGAACAGTAATTTGGTTCTCATTACATTTGGTTTGATGTACATCCCTGGTTAAAAATGGGATAATTATATAAAATCCACATTTTTGAGCTCTGTTTCATGTTAAAATGTTGTCACCTCATGAAAAACATACCTGGATTGTTGCTTTGCTTCTTCACCCAATCATTGAAGCTCCTGTGGCAGACACGTTTGTATGGTGACATACAGCATTAGTTTTCCACCAGTCATGACATTGGGGATACAAACCAAAATGTTCAGTTTCTGTCTGACCTTCTTCCACATGTTTTGAAACTGCAGGCTGGATTTTTGGCAGCCTGGCAGTCCTGCCATGTCAAAAAATGCTCTTAAAAATTCCGAGCTTGGCATATCGTTTTAGAAATTCTCCCAAACTTTATCCCTGAGATGTCTGCTTTGTTTCTTGACCTTCATGATGCTGTTTGTTCACTAATGTCATCTAACAAGCTTATGAGGCCTTCACTGAACAGCTGCATTGATACAGACAGTAAATTACACACAGGTGGAGTCTTTTCTACCAGTTACATAACTAGTAGAAACAGACAGCTGATTTCACTAAATTTAGTTGATATCTTCAGAGTAAAGCATAGTGTTCCTTTATTATGGAATTTGTCCACTATTGACTGCTTTATTACACAGAACTCTATAATAGTAATGGTTCACATTACATGCCAAAATGATAAAAAAAAAAAAAAGTCAAGAAGTATGAATACTTTGTTGTGCCTTTTTCGTATTTGTATTTTTTATTTGTGTCTTTTTGATCAAATTGAATCGTCACAGGTGCATGAGATTGGCGCAAATCTTCATACTAAATATTGTTTGGTAAATCCATCTTAAACTGTTTTCTCTCCCTCATGGACGTTTTTATTAGAATGTCACTGATGTTGTTTGAAAGATTGACGAAAATATTTTTTGCAAAAAATTGTCTCGGAATACTTTTCAATGTGGGATAATCTATTTTGCTAGTGCTAATTAACTTCTTTAGGGTTGCGGTCAAAAGGGCACACATATTGAATTTCTATTGATTGTTGTTTTGGGACAAACCCAGAAGTGTCATCACAAATGATCAATGCACATGAATCTGTCTTTTTTTTCCCATCATTAGTTAAATACATTGGCAAAAGAAAATGAACCTTTAAGCTTCTCACAGATGGCAAAACACTAAGGCAGCGGTGAGCTGCTGCTTTTGAAAGTGAACGGCTTGAGACAAATCATAAAACCTTATCAAAATGTTACGGGGGACTTAGCATTTCAGTCTTATTGTAACTCTTATCACAACACGTCAAGGTTACCAAGCAAGAAGAAAGTTGTGTGAAATTAAAATCTGAAGTGCTGCCAAAGCCAAAAACAGGAATGACTTCATGTTTGCTGCCAGTCTGGAGTCGAAGCTGAATGGGATGTTGAGCCTGTTTGTGTGACACTCCGCTTTGAAAGGAAACATTAAGACTTACTCATGTCCCTAAATGTATATTTGGTTTCTACTCGGACCTAAAATGCTTTTAAGTAAATTAAATTACTCATAAAAAAAATCTAGGAGTGGACCACTAGACTTAAAGTACATTTCTCAAACAAAGATAAAGTTAAAATTAATGTTGACCATCCAAATTATTAACATTTTTAAATTTTTGGGATGTTTGTTTTTGTTAATGAATGAAAAATGGTTTGTATATGATGAGCTACTGACTGAACAAAGTAGAAATTTGCAGTTTTTTTATTTACTTGAACAAGAACTATACTTTCCATTAATCTAGTCCTGGGGCATGTTCACTAGCAGTAGGTTAAATCGAGTTCTGATTAATTATCCTGTGATATTTCAAAGACTGATTACAGTCTTCTTGGAAAATTCAGATTTTATTTCAGCCCTCTGACATGTCAATCCAGATTTATATCTCTTCTCTATTTAACACTGTAGTTCAAATTTATACTGAAGGAGAAACATATTTTCTTCATAGTGAAATATTTGCTTTTCAGTAAGTGTTAATTAAAAAAAGCAATATGGTATTTCGCTCTTATATTTCAGAGGAAATCTTTAAGTGCTTCAGCATCACAGGATTGTGACATTTATCCAACCAATATCCGACTAAGTTTGTTCTTTATCTTCTTTAGAAAGCAGACTACATCTCCTTAATCTTTTGATTCCTAATTGCTTTCCATCCATTCTTTGAAATATAGAAATACATAATACAAAAAGGATAAAACTGTTGACACAATGTCTAGCATAGTAAGAAAAAGACTCAACCTGAGATATCTGTGATGTTTTTGTTTTATCTAATTTTACAGCTAGATAACTATACATTTTAAAATGTTTATGTATAGTTTCATTCAAAGGTTTTACATATAGTCATTATGGAAATGAGTTATCGTTAATATTGGACTTTAATTTCTGAATTTATACTGCTCTTTTTCTAGGGTTAAATGATTATAGAACACATAACTTTAGTGATTTCCAGAAGAAATTATTTCTCTTTGGTTCAAATGAAATTAAATTCATACATGACACTCAATAATATTTCTTTAAGGTTCCTTACACCCCATTGAAACTCTTTTTGTCATCATTAGAATATTTCTGGCATAATCTTGGCTGAATATTTATAGTAAATTCTCAACTAAATTGTTTCCTGGCACACACCTGACTTTGAAGCATAGTCCGCAAACTAGATTGGTGAACAATGCAAGATTGGTTGAAATTTTTTTTTTTTTTTTTTGTTGAACAATCCATTATATCCAAATTTATCCATCTAACCCAAAATGCCACTCTTGGATAAAACAATAATAATAATCAGGATATTGAAGACTAAGCCAGTAACCAGCAAGGACTGAAGCCCATTATAAACTGGTTAACCACTGGTGTTGGTGTCTACATGAAAGTGAGTCGTACATCAATGTGGACAGAAAAGGTGTTGACCTTGAATGACTTGCATGCTCCAAAACAAACACTTCACAAGTTTGTACTACATGCTTTTTGTAGTAAGTTTTACAGTTAAGACAAGGCAAAGATTTAGATGTTTAGCCACAATAACAAGAAGTGTGTCTGGAGTACTAGAGGTGAGATTTTCAAACCTAACCACACTGAACTAACTGTCAAGCTTGTCGGCGGCTCCTTCTTGGTGAGGGTTTGTTCTGACTGTAGTGTAAACCTCTAAAATGGAACTGAACATTTTTGCATGTTCAAACAAAAAAATGTCCTTTCATTAGCGATTTATGCCTTCTGTGCATCATGGATGTCTTTTTTCAATGGAGTACAAGAAAGGCCTGTCATTTTTACAAGATGGCTACCACTAATTTTGTAGCGTATTGTTTATATTTCCACCCTCTTCACACGTCGAGAGATTGAGATTTTTATTCCCTATTTTATTTGCAAAGTGGCTCAAAATCTGATTGTCAGTAGGTCATCTGTGAACACCTGTGTTCAAGTTTTCTACATGTTCTCAATTAGACTTAGGCCTGGTCTTTGACTGGTCCATTCTAACAAATCAGTATTTTGACGTATAAGTTTTCACTGCAGCTCTGGGTGTATTTGTATCCTCTGTGGTTGGCCTGTTTTTGCTCCATCCACCTATCTCTCCTGTGTGTTTCTTGGTCTCCATGATGCTGTTTGTTGTTGTTCTCTAACAGACCTCTGAGGCCTTTACAGATCAGCTGCGAGGAAAAGCGCTGAATGCAAATGCATGGCATACTTTCTAGGTTTTTATTGGTGAAAAAAACAAAATCTCTGTTGCTGTTGTAATATGACTAAAAGTTTTTTATGTGTAATGTGATTTAAACTGTTAATATATTCAAACAAAGCTATTCTTGAAGCCTCATGTTAAACATTTAAAGGGAATATGTCTGTGTTTGGGCTTCGGAGTGCAAGTCAGCATGTAATGACTGACCTGGGGAAGCTTCTGTCATCTTCCGCTGGTCTGTGGTTGCAGAGCACTCGCATGCATGTGCTTAGAGGGCCTCTTCAGCCTCTGCCCTTTGCTGCTGAAATTCTATCAGCTGTCTGCACCTCCCACACATTCTGCAGTAGCAGAGCAGGCAGCTTCAAGCCTTTCATAGGTGGGGGGTTGACGTGAGTGCATGTGTTTGTGTGTGCATATCGGTGTGTGTTTTTGTGAAAGGGTTGGGGGTACAGGAAGAGGCACCTGCTGGTGAATGGTTTACACCAGCTGCTTTGCTCCACACATGAAAAGAAGTGCTGATGTATTATTGACATGAACCGTCATTTTCAATAAATATTTATCAAAAAGAAATTGCTTCTTTTAAATTTTTAATTTTTTTTGTCTTTTTGACAGGAACACCACATAATGGAGATGCTCTAACTGTGAAGACTGACTCACTGGGACCATCTTGGATCCAGAGGTGCCCTCTGATTTCTGTCATGGACTTTTTTGACGATCCCAACCTCTTTGACGGGGGTTTGGATGGGCTGGATGAAGATGGTTTCCATTCAGCACCGTCGCTTGTGGATGAGCTCAATCTCAGTGCTGGTTTTGAACCCCTTCAAGTGGAGGCACTTGGCCCGGGGAAGCATCAAGAAATGATGCCACCAGTCTCTTCCCAACAAGCTGTGCCCAGTTACAACCAGCCGATGGTTCATTATGCTGGTGTTAAGGCAGAGAATCCCCTGGGGCAGATATTTTCTGGTTCTCGGAGCACAGGTTGTGACGTGGGTCCTGAGCAACATGGCCAGTACCATAGTGCCACTATTAGCCAAGTACCTCCACCCAACGGACTGTTCTGCAGTACTGGAAGCCCAATGTGGGGCAACCAAGACCAAAATGGGAACATGTTTCACCATGTATCTCAACAGCAGCAGCAGCAACAACAACAACTTTGTCATCAGCAACTGCACAACCAGCAACTGCATGGCAGACAACATACTCAGCAGCAGCACCGTTCTGGTCATCAAGCTGAGCAGCAACAGAGAATGCGACAACAACAGCTCCAACAACAGCACAGTCATCAGCAACAGCTGCTAAACCAGCATCAACAGATTACCACAGCGAGTGTTTGCCTGCAGCAACATCAGCATCCCACATTCTCCTTTCTCCAGGGAGGTCAGTCCAGCAGCCAGCAGCAGATACACCATTCTCCGCATCAACTACCTGTAAGAGAATCCCAGTTTCATTCCAGGAGTCTTCCAGGTAAGCCTTTTTTGGAACATCAGAATGCCTCTTTGAGCGGGGCCTGCTTGCAAACACGTCAGCAGCAGGGGAGCTACCAGTTGGTCAGGGGAAGTCCGGCCTTCTCCGGATCAGGACTCGAGGACTCTCACCTTTCATTCCCCATACATCCATCATCTGCAGTACACTCCTTGCCTGCATGCTCTGTCAGTTCAGCTCATGCTTACCAAGCGGCGGAGTTCCCTGCCTACCCTGGAGAGCCAGAAATACCCAGTCTCAGTCAGCAGTCTTCATGTAGGCCCATCACTACTACACCAATTACTACTACAGTGCCTAGGCTGCCTGGGACAGCATGCCAGTTCCAGTCCACAGCACACGTGAGTCAGCTGCACTCTGGAACAACGGTTAGCCAGGCAGACGAGTGTCCCTTCAGAGCCTTACGCTGTTCTGGAGAAACCCAGGCAGTCTGCAAATCATCAGAGCTGTTCGGCGAGTCAGTGAGTTGCTATCCAAGCATGACAAACCACCTGCCCTCTGAGCAGCAGATCAGCTGCGGGGTTATTAACACTAATGGGTACCAAGCTTTTGGAGACAATGTTATGCCATCAGAGGCCCAGGATGGAGACTTGGAAGCCCTGGATCCTCCTGACCTCCTGCCTGATCTGCTCCCCCAGCTGGAGGATGCTTTCAGGCAACAGGACGAATCCAGCTGTTCTTGGATTGATTCCAGTCAGAAGAAAGGGCACGAAAACAGGAAACCAGCAGCTATCGAATGCAAAGAGGAGAAGGTAAAATTTTAAATTTGTTTTTATGGATCTGTCCTTAGCCGTTATGTGGTTCTCTCTGGCTAGATATGGCCAGGTGTGAGATAAAGTTTTGATGACCTCTAATGAAATACCATGGGTTCAAAGTATTTCCACATATTTCAAACAAAAATGTGTAACAATCTTAAATCTTCTTTTAAACAGCAAAGCAACACTTAGTCTTATTGCTGCCAACATAATGTATGTAACATAACATAATGACACATTTATTTTGATTTTGATACGCATATTTAAGCACAAGTCAAAATTTTCTGTAATTTTTAGTTGTGTTCAAGTGGTTTTTGTTGACAATATTGTTTCTTAGTTTTTTCTTTTCTTTTTGTGAAATACAGCATAGCAAGAAGATATTTACTAGTGTGTCAGGTGATCTGCTCAGCAAATTGGCCTGCAGTCAGCTGCTTGATACCCATGTCAAATTTGTTAAAAGTTATGAGTGTAATAAAACCCATCTATTTACACTAAGGTGAATAGATGGGTTACTGCTGTTAAGGCAGCAGTCCTCCTAACCAAGCAAGTGGCAAAAGTCAAAAGTAACAACTCTGTTTTGACTGGAAGTAATCTTCAGCAGAAACCCACTCAGAGTTAGCAGCTAAAAGAAGTCATAAAGAATGAAAAAAACATAACAATGGTCCAAGAGTACTTTCTGTAGGAAGAAATCAGTAACGAGATTAGTAGAATTGTCTGGAGAAGAAAAGTGGTTAAACAGAAAATTGCTTGGCTAGTAGTAAGCAGACTAACAAAAAAGTGAACTGTAGAAATCCTACATTTTCAAGCAGCCATATTTCTGGTTTTACTTTGGGAAGGTTTCTTTCAGCCAGCTGACCAGCAATTTTCAGCAACAGTTTGGGGAGCATGACAGCTCTCTTGAGTCTCTGATACTTTCAATGACTGTAAGAAGACATTAAACCCTTAGAATAGGCTGACCGAACACTGCAGAGGTTGACACCTGGATTATCACCAACTGGCCCATTCATACTCTCAGCCCACCTTATTTTCACTGCCCTTTAAGCTATTTCTTCAACTTACATGTACGTACAGTTAGCTAACATAGCAGACGTATTGGCTTAAGATAATTTTTTTTTTTTTAAATCTTGTGTTTCATGGCACAGATACCAGTCATTTGTGTAATGTTTAACTATCCGAGGTAGAACGTGTGCCTCTCTGCTTGGAAACCTGCAATCAGTGGTGCATTGGGGGAAGGTGGATATTAGGCGGTTCCTACAGCAGTTTGAAAGGCTTTCAACATGATAATGGTCAGTCTAGCCTGGCCTGTCTATCTGCCCTGTGCGCCGACAGCAGGTCAGGCCTGATTAGGCTAAGAGTGGCAGGAGTGTCTTCAGGACTTAGCTGTAAGCATACTTAGGGCTATATCAAGATGTGGGTCAGGGCAAGCCAGAGGCACTTGCACACAGCCTTGCTGGAGTGTGGGGGTGGTTGCACACTGTTGTGGTTGCTGTCACAGTTTCTGCGAGTGCGTGTGCATGTGAGTGCAAGCAGTAGGGAAAGAGCTTGCTGTAGGAGAGTGGTTAGCACTTGAGAGACGCGGGGGAGGGGGAAGGTTTGGAGATGGAGAGGGCAGCAGCTCATGGAAAAAGGAGAGAGCTTAGGAAAGAACGGATGGGAAAGAGATGGGGAGGAAGAGCATGAGTGAGCAAGAGACAGAGAGAGGGAGAGAGGGAGAGAGAGAGAACACAAGTGGAGGGGGAGGTGGAGAGAATGCATTAGCCGGCTGTAACAGGCTTCAGGCGGTTCTTGGACCTCAGTTGGCTGGTAACTTAGCAGCATCCATGCAGCTTCCCAGCCCCAGAGTGACACATGACCAGCAGCACATGCGGCAGGCATTTCATGTTCCTTTGCAAATGCCAATAGGACACCTAAACTACAACATGTGGTCCTGTTTTAATAACTTGTTTTAGATCTTGTATTGAAACAATAAAAAAAGAAATTAACCATCGGAAGGTTAAGGTGAGTCAATAATTCAAATCAGAAAGTAGTAAAAATGACATAAATGTAATAATACGGTGATTACATTTCAAATAGTGATTCACTGATATGAAAATTTGGACCAATATCAATATCCGATATTATATAAATAATATCGGATATATAATTTCCTGACGCTTTCAAGATACTAAAACGAATGACCACATTGCTGACTTCAGCATGGCTTCTCTGCTTCAGTTAATCTCCCCACAGTCCTGTACTGTCACTGTCACACGATCAAACAAATACTGCTCCCCCCTTAAGAAAAAAAAAAAGTGACAACAATAATAAAATAAATATTGGTTGATTGTATCCCTAATTTTAAATATTTATTTCTGTACATTATAGTTTACATCTGATGAAAAATTCAGTATTTCAGAAAATGAGAATAATTCCTAAGAGCAGTGAAAATGTGGATCTTTGACACAGAAATGTGGGCATACTGAAAAGTATCCATTATAGTATATGCACTGCGTACTTGGTCAGTGCTTCTTTTGCATGACTTGCTGTATCAATAGGCCCTTTCACAAAACACCTCAAGGTGTTTCACCCGTGATTTGCCAAGTGGCCTCGTGTCACGTGACCTGTATAAGGGCAGGCCGGATTCATGGACTTGAATCCGGCCTGCGGGTATGATGCATTTATGACGCATCTTGTGTACTCCCATTATGGACCTTAAACCAGATATTAGTATGTTTAGAAGCGTGAGCATCCCCGTAAAGCTTGCCAGCAGAGGGAAGAATAAAGCTCTCTGACTTGATAACATTGTGAATCAACACCATTAGATGGCATGGTACTTCACAATAAACCTCAAGAAACTTAGATTCTGTGCCCCTCCACTGGTTCTTTCGACTCCAGGAAACATTTTCCTTCATCTAAAGACGACCTTAGACCAGGGTCTGCAACCCTAGCACGTGGGATCTACCGTCCTGCAGACTTTAGATGCAACGTGGACTCAACACACCTGAATCAAATGAATGGCTCTTTATCAGGCCTTTGCTAAACTTGACGACTGAAGAGTTAATGCAATCATCTTATCAAGCTGAGTTAGAGTGAGGATGCATCTAAAACTTGCAGGACAGTAGATCATGCCATTGAGTGACAGTCGAGTCCTTTTTCTCTGGTAAGGCACTTCTGATGGTATTACTGGTTCCAGAGTGGCTTAGCTAGAACAATGTGACAGTTGTTGCGCATTTCATTGGGATGTTTGTGTTTGGAGGCTCTTTGTAGCACCCTCTCAAGCTTCCCCTGTTATTTCTATTGCTTGTGCATTTTTTTCCTACCACTTAGCTTTCCATTAAGCATGCTTGGTACTGCTGGACAATCATGTCAGCAGCCTTTCCCATGATTTTGTAGGACATAAGATAGCTATAACATTTATGCATTCAAAATTCTTATTTTATTAATCTTATGTCTTATGGAATATGAAAGCTTTCTGAAAAATGCTACTTTGGGCTTTCATTGACTGTGAGCCAATGAAAGTAATCATTACAATTACTAGAAATGAGTACTTGCAATTTGGGTGGAAACCATTAGCTTATTGAAATAACCAACTAATTTAGCAATCAATTAATTGTTAACTGGAGTATACAGACTCATAAAAAGGCAATTTGCTGAAAATTTACACATTCAGAAGAGTATTTATGCTAAAGTTACAAAAAATACATTTTACATTAACGATAAAAAACATGTTTGTCTGTAATGTTTCATCCATAGCTCAAGTATTTTAATGAATTTCTAATATTGTATAAAAAGGATTAAGTCAGTAATGAAAAACCTGTAGAATATGCCAATTGTAATAGAACAATTTATTACAAAAAGTTGTTAGCTGCAGCCATGCTTGCAACATACTTATGAGTGTATGTTTGAGTGTGTATGAATGTGTAGTAAATCTGTGCAGTAGAAGTTTCATTTTTTGAACCGACTTAGAAAATTAATTACAAATTCAATGCTACTGTAACTGAAGACACCCTCTTAGATGTATTTAAACATAGACTTTTCAGCACAGATGTATTCTCTGGCATTATGTTATCCTCATCTTTTGTGTCTCTACTCTTACATTCTTTGTGTACTAATTGCATATGTGACTACAAGGTTGCAGGACCTGCTTGAGTGACTAATTTCTGATCTCTAAACAAGGTTTGTTTCCTGGCAGCAGTCCTGCCATGTGCCGCTGCTTCTGAAACCAGATCTGTGGCCCTGAGCCAAAACACAAGTGGTGTTTTGAGTACCCTGACTCTTTCTCAGCAGGTGACAACAAAACTTATGGTCTTCCTTTACCAGCGCTCATCCTCACTGCCCATTGACTCATCTGCAGAGGTCCTTGATTGAAAAAGGACCTTGAAGCACAGCCATATGCAAGAGCCTCCTCCCTGTCTGTGTCAACATCCAGGCCTGTGTTGATGCTTACAGGCTGACTGTGCTATTCAAGTGCACTGATGTGTGAAGAGCCTGCTGATGGCGTGTTTGCTGAACAGGCAGGGCATCAGGGGAAAGCGGCCCACTCTCCTCTCCCCCGCAGTGAATGTGACTAATTAGGGTTTCCAGTGACTGTAATGGTCAGCTGCAGATGTGATGAGCAACCAATGCTCAACACTGATTGAGTGGCCCAGGTTTCTGTGTTGTACAGTTAATTTGAGTATAACAGGTTAGTCTGTAGTAGCTGGTTATTAGCTTGACTCCCATTATAGCAGCAAGGGCCTTCCAGCTCGCCTGAAGCAGTGAAGCGATACTCCGCTGGGCCCGGTCCTGGTTTGTGGTGCTTATGTTCACGTCCTGTCATACACTGTTGTGTGTCTTTTCAGGAACTCAGACAGGAAGACCGGTGTCATTGCAAACTCTGCACATGTGAAATAGGTAGAGAAACTGATATTGAAATTTCATTTGTTGGGTTGCTTGTGATTTGTCTTGTAATGTCAAAAAGAAAATCAATTACTTTCTTCTATTTTTAGGGTTTTAATTACATGTTTTAAACATGTAAT